CCGCAAGTGGCCCGCGATTCTCACAAATCGCTTCCATCTTACAGTTGAGCTCGTAAATCAGCTGATTTTGAGCGCTCGGAGCACGAACCAAAGAAAGGCAGCCTAAACTGCATGTCTTTGATTTGTGGGAGGAAAGTGGAGCAGCCAATGAAAACCCACACAAACACGAGGAGAACACACAAACTCCACACAGAAAGACCCCATGTCCAATCCAGGGATTTTATCCAGGATATTCTTGCTGTGAAGCAACAGTGCTAACCACTAATCGACCGTGCTAAACCTCTTTGTCTCTTTTTCCCCTCTTTCTAACTCAATCACAAAACTTTAAGAAATCTAACTCTGCACTGCAGAAACACATGATCATTGCTGTATTTGACTCCAGTTATGCTGCGATCTTGTCATACAGTTGTTTCTCTAAAGATTTTCAATTCCTGATGAGAGTTTATTCAGCGTATTACAAACATTAAATTCTGGTAAATTAATTTAAAATCTCTTGAATCTGAGTTGTGGGTTTTTCTCCAGCAGCAGCAGAACATTTACCTGCAGGTTTGTCTCATGGTTTTGCTATGGGAGATGCATGAAGAAAGTTTGATCATGTTACTGCTACTTCTGTGTCAACATCTGTATTACTCTAACAGCATGCATCATGTGTAGCAGCAAAAAGAGAAAACATCCCAGTATTTATAAAAACTGTTATCTTGGGGGTGTATTTTGTAGCAGAGAAAGGTCCATTTTGATTGTATTTGATGGAAAGTTGCACTAAACCAGCTGAGAGCACTTGGCTTGGATTCATACGAGGGATGTAGCTGACAATCAGCTGGGTTAATGCACAGATGTGAAAACATCTGGGAGATAAATGTATATTTGGAAACACGTGGAAGATTTAGTTTATGAAACTTTTGTTTAGGAGAGCTCCGTTCTCATGTTGTGTAAAAGTGTTTTTACGGCTGGTTAGTTTGGTATCCTTGAGTTCATGGTGTCTGTTTCAAGAAATAATCTCTAGTTTCGTGCCTTCACTCGAGAACTCTGTCGTCTGTACAACACTGTGCAAAATGCAATACTGTGAAGAACTGGAACATGTGGAAACCTGTCAGTGTGTCAAACCCAGTGAAAATTAAAGAACAAATATACCAACACTGCTTTGGGTTGATGTTTTTACTAAAGGGTTTTAAATAAATCAAGCTAGATTTCTTTAAAATAAGTAAATAAATAAAGACTTATCCAGGTAGTCTTCCATATGGATAGCGCCTTGTCCGCAGTGAAGGAGCTGAGCTGAAAGACAAGTCTCAAATGACCAGTTCATCCATGTTCTACCTCAGCTCAGCCTCTGACAGAAGGAACAACATCCTGGATACAAGCAGCTGAAACAAGCTTTGTTCACAAGGTGGTCAGGCTCAGCCTTACTGGAACTTTACGGGAGTCCCCAGAATTCATTTCTCCACCCAGGATTCCCAGTGTAGTCCATTAGATATATTCAAATGAAAATGTTGCCAGTCGCTCATTATGGTCACCATGGTAACCATAGGTACCATAAACCTAAGGGAGAAGTAAAAACTGATTAAAAACCAGAAGAAAATGGCATCTGTGTGAAAACTCAGCCATCTTAGGAATTCTTAGACTAAGAGAAAGAAACGTTTCGTGTTTCTGTGCTTTGTGTAGGATAAGATTTAAAAACCCTTCACTTCTAGTTTAGACTAATTTGAGCTGAAATATTATGAAGCCTACAGAAGTTTGGGTGCTCATTCTCTGCATTCTGGAGGTACTTGTGAGAAAACCACAAGCTCTACAACAGTGTGAGACACATAGGGTGAAAGAAGACTAAAATACATTCGTCTTGATGTATATTTAAAAAAAGAGTTGTAGGAGTAAAAATGTTGTTTTTTTTGCAGTAAATTTGTTTAACATTTTAGACAGCTAAAATGCTAGAGAGCATGATTTGACAACACTAAGTTAGAACAAAAACTTAAAACATAAATTGTGATTGTGAAACATAGAAACTGCCGCTCTAGTTATGTGAAATCTTTGTGTTTACTCCTCTGTTTCTATACTGAAGTATGCCTGAGCTACAGAGCTCCGAAGAGGGCTGATTTTATTTATATTTTTAACCAAAATCATACCGGACACATCTAGGGGCAGGCATTGCAAATAAAACAAGGCTAAAAATGTTGTAGTGTATGGTATTTGTTAATACTTAACACTTGTACCAATACAGATAAACAATAAATGAATGAACAATTGTATTAAATAGGGAGCATTTTTTTAAGTCATAAAATGAGTGACTACCAAAATATACAGAATAGAATAGAATGATCCTTTTCAGATAATGGTTATAAAATAGAATATCATGAAAAAGTTGATTTATTTAAGTTATTCCTTTCAAAAAATGAAATTGGTATATTATATTCATTCATTACACACAGACTGTTATATTTCAAGTGTTTATTTCTTTTAATGTTGATGATTATAACTGATAACTAATGAAAACCCCAAATTCAGGATCTCGGAAAATTAGAATATTGAAGACACCTGGTGCCACAGTCTGATAAGCTAATTAACTCAAAACACTTGCAAAGACCTTTAAATGGTCTCTCAGTCTAGTTCTGTAGGCTACACAATCATAGCAAAAACTGCTGACTTGACAGTTGTCCAAAAGATGACCATTGACTTCTTGTACAAGGAGGGCAAGATACAAAAGGTCATTGCTAAAGAGACTGGCTGTTCACAAAGCTCTGTGTCCAAGCACGTTAATAGAGAGGTGAAGGGAAGGAAAAGATGTGGTAGAAAAAAAGTGTACAAGCAATAGGGATAACCACACCCTGGAGAGGATTGTGAAACAAAACCCATTCCAAAATGTGGGGGAGATTCACAAAGAGTGAACTGCAGCTGGAGTCAGTGCTTCAAAAACCACCACGCAGACATATGCAAGACAAGGGTTTCAGCTGTCACATTCCTTGTGTTAAGCTACTCTTGAACAAGAGACAGCATCAGAAATGTCTCGCCTGGGCTATCGACAAAAAAGACTGGACTGCTGCTGAGTGGTCCAAAGTTATGTTCTCTGATGAAAGTAAATGTTGCATTTCTGTTGAAAATCAAGATCCCAGAGTCTGGAGGAAGAGAGGAGAGGCACAGAATCCATGTTGATTGAGGTTCAGTGTCAAGTTTCCACAGTCCGTGATGGTTTGGGGTGCCATGTCATCTGCTGGTGTTGGTCCACTGTGTTTTCTGAGGTCCAAGGTCAACACAGTCGTCTACCAGGAAGTTTTAGAGCACTTCATGCTTCCTGCTGCTGACCAACTTTATGGAGATGCAGCTTTCATTTTACAACAGGACTTGGCACCTGCACACAGTGCCAAAGTTACCAGTACCTGGTTTAAGGACCATGGTATCCCTGTTCTTAATTGGTCAGCAAACTCACCTGACCTTAATCCCATAGAAAATCTATGGTGTATTGTGAAGAGAAAGATGAGATACAACAGACCAACAATTCAGAAGAACTGAAGACCACTATCAGAGCAACCTGGACTCTCAGAACACCTGAGCAGAGCCACAGACTGATCGACTCCATGCCACACGGCATTGATGCAGTAATCCAGGCAAAAGGAGCTACAGCTAAGTACTGAATGCTGTACATGCTCATACTTTTCATGCTCATACTTTTCAGTTGGTCAACATTTCTAAAAAAATATTTTTTAATTGGTCTTAAGTAACATTCTAATTTTCTGAGATACAGAATTTGGGGTCTTCATTAGTTGTCAGTTATAATCATAAACAATAAAATAAACATTTGAAATATATCAGTCTGTGTGTAATGAATGCATATAATATACAAGTTTCACTTTTTGAATGGAATTATTGAAATCAACTTTTTCA